AATTATATGATTGCAACATCTTCAAAGGCATAGTTATAAACACAAATAATTCTGCAGGTACAAGAGGTTTTAGAAGGAGCAAAAGTGCTTGAATGGTTAAGAGAACGTGCAGAAATTCAGTATGTTACCCGGTAAGGATTCACTTGATCAAATTTTGTTAATCTTATTTGAATTCTCAGAAAATTTTGTTAAGCTGGTTTGACATTTTCCGGAGTAAATAATCATTCCACTGGAATGTTGTACGATTGACTTTATTTTTCATCTGGTTATGGTCCGATCACCAGTTTTGACCATTTTGATAGTGTACCCTACAATTAGTTCAAAATACTACTTCCGAGCATGCGAAAGATTAGATAAACGTTATGATGAGAAAAATGTTCTAACTTGACATTCACTTCGATTAATTTGTGATTAGTGCCTTGTCAAGAATGAAAAGTTAGCACCAGAAAGTTCAATGGATCAAATATAAATTTATGACTTAATTTTTACAAATATCAAATAATTAAGGTTAAGAATGAGAATATATAACCAAATGGATTGTAATAGAAATTTAATTTGTCTCGTTTGTCTTTGTTATGTTTCATTTTGATTTTGATATACATTAATAAAAGTTATTGTAGTTCAATTGTCATGATCCTCCCCTTTTTTAGATAGGGTGAATGTAGAACTGTAATTCGATTCATCTGCTAAGAGTAATGTTTTTGGCACTTATAAATACTTTTTGACACTTGAAAGTGGAAATTTGAGTTTAGGTAGGAAATGGATTTTCGTTAGTGAAAAATTCACGATAGAGTTGATGATCATTTACAGTAGAATTGAATGCCACAAATGCACCTTGTTGAACATGTGAAACTCGGTACATTGTGGATGTATTGTAATCCGATGATAGTCAAACCATAATGTTTGATTTACTGAACATGTAAGTTAGCTCATTAATGTTTTGGTAACAGCTCAGACTGTAAATTGGTTTTTGACAACTCAGTCTTTGTAATTTAATTTTTTTGGGGAATTTACATCAAATAAGTAGTGTTTTTTTGTATTTGTGTTCAGAAGTTTATATACATGCAAATGATTTCTGAAAATTTAACAAAAAGAATAAAAGAACCGAATTACAAATTTGAAGTTGTTATCGAAAAATCATAGAATTTAAACTGTAGTAGTAAGTCACAGGATAAATAAACTTGTACTTATCCTACAAATTAAGTTTATTCTTCACAGTTCTTGTTGTATACAATGAGTTATCCTTAAAAAATCACAAAATTTGAATTATAATGAAGTTAAATCACTACAAAGTGAAACTGTAGCTTACCACCCAATTTGAACTTGTTATTCACAATACTTGTTATAAATCAAAGTCTAGGAGAAACCGTGTGTTTCTCCCGACTAGAAGCTAGGTAAACCTAAAAGCCTCTTGAAGAACAATGAGTTAGCAACCAAAGGAAAAAATGAGAAAAACACAAGTATATCGAAAGAAATTACAGGAATATATACAATCTTCCTACATAATAAAGTTACCAACAGGAGCTGCCGTTTAGAGAATCCAGATGAATATTTGTCCACAAAGGTTCAAGATAGCCCCAGCAACCTATTTTGCAGTGTCTGCCCTAGCTTCATATAAAGAGCCTGCTGTTCCTCTCGACTGAGTTTCCTCAATATCTAAAGCAACAAAATTGTCACATAAACACGGATGGTATATGAGAAGTTACACGCCTACTTAAATATTTATATATAATATTTTTGTATGGAGGGGTAATCGAATTGACATTATGATGAATTTTTCATTCAAATCATTATCACATTTGTATTATGTTATTATTCTTAGTCTATAGAATTAAAAGTTTGGTCAATTAAAAGTTGAACCAGAAGAAACCAATGAGTAAATGAAATTCTCTCGTATTGACATGATAAGATATTAGCATTTCATATACGGAAATAAGAACTTCACCTCATCCAACATCATCTCTACTGTGTAGTCCTGAGGAACAACAAATGATTGGATATATATGTAGGCAAAAACAGCCATTACCATCTGAAAAACAGACAAGCATGACTTAGAAAACGGACATAAATGGGTTCTGAAATTTAACTTGTACATGGCGAAAGATATTTAATGCAGGTTATCAGAACATGTCCAAAGGTAACAGATCCATTAAGTGCCACTAATTTGGAGCAATTTATGGTTAAGGGTAAAACCAGTACAGAAATCAGAAGTGGACTGGACTGAGAGGCATTTTGTCTCTATAGTGGTTTTTTAATATTTTATAGTGTTATTTAATAACCATTTAATAACTACCTAAAATTATGTAATTGTCTTATTACAACACAATCTTAAGTGATTATTGTCACTAAATTACCATAACGCATTTGAAATATACTTAAAAACATGATGCTTTTGGGGTAGTGTAATACCAGGTTTGGTTCTAGCAAAGAATGATGAATAAAATATGCTGGCTGAATAACTGGGATAATGATTAATCTAACTCAAAATAAGAAGCTGATGGACAAGAAAAAATAGCTAGGTGTTTCATAAATCATCACAAATATTTCAAAGTTTAGCAGCTTACTTGGCAATCCATTCTGTCGGTAAATCCACCATGTCCAGGTATACTGTCACCAAAATCCTGCATCGTTCAAAGAAATTGGATTTACCAGAAAAGAAAAAAAAAAAACATTTGAAGAAATGAAAAAGGAAATAGTTCATCATGTGATTGAAAGCTCATAAATGCTCCAATTTTTTGAGCTAGTAAAAAACGAATGAGTACCTTGATTTTAAATGCTCTTTTGAAGCCACTAGCAAAAAAACCACCAAAGGGTGCTATAATTGACGCAAATAAACCCAGGCATAAAGCATGCCACTGCACTGGCAAAACTGAAATCTCCTTCCATGGAAGCTACAAGAAGTAACTAAAAGTAAATCATTATCCTTATTATAAAAATTCTATATCCCATCCTTATTTCTCTCTTCTTGGTTAGTGAAAGTTACTGTAATTGCTACTTTCAGTTTTTTTCTTTTTCCAACTTCATTGTTCTATATATTAACATGATTGCTACAAGGCATCTAGAATTCAAATATGCAACCATAAAAACTTTTATCACTCACCCATTGAGAAATCCATCCTGGTAACGAATAGTGTTCGGGTATAAACAGTGGCCCGGGATCGCATTGAAGCCAACCAGTCGATAAATCCTGCATGAATTTCGTTGACATGAGCAGTTTCTGAAGCAGTATGAGTTCGTTCCTTGGGTATTCTCCTTTATCAAAAAATAAAAGTTCTTTGGGGTATCAATGATTAATTTCTATCAAAAGTTACCTTCCTCGGACATGTAAGCCACTGGAAACGGCCTAAAATGTTTGCAAACTGTAAAAAAGATAGCGAGTGATCAAGTTAATGGATCCACATTCTATAAAACCATTATGTGATGATGATATATAAAAATAAAAAATTCCCCAACATTTTCATCTATCCTTACTCTAATTAAATGAACATTAACAAAAGAGAGTCTTTTTTGTAATTCATAGGAAACCATAAGGTTCTTGAAAACAATTACGAGGTAGTAATAGTTGCGGTTTTATTATGTTAGGAATAAATCAATAATTTTTGTATAATTTATTTGAGAATTTACCATTAATTGAGATAAGAGAAGATCTAAATTACATCCAAAGATGAAAATAATAAATGCTTTTTGTATTAAAATTTACAAAATCAGAATACCTTATTTCCATTCCACTTGATATTTTCTGTAAGGTTAATTTTTGTAATGCTAGATAAATTTTGTATCATTTCCTAATTAAACAAAAAATGAATTTCAAAATAAACTTCAAAAAGAAAAACTTGATTTATAAACCTAGTCTAAAGAAAATTATGCTTACAATAAATGCTGAGATTACGGTTGCCACTGATGCTCCAATAAAACCCTCCCAAGTTTTCTTTGGTGATAACTTAATCAAAGGTGTCTTTCCAAAATAAAAGCCAAAGAAATAAGCAGCAACATCATTCATAGCAATAAGGGCTGCTGGGAGAAGAAACCTGATAAATATAAAACTTCTTAGGCTCGCCAACAGTACATAACATATGTATATCAAAAGAAAATAGCACATAATATCTTGCACACACAATTCTATACATATGACTCTGTTAACAGAAATCTACCCACAAGAAATTTATGTAAATCATGTTATTGTTACCAAAATATCCCTTCGAAGATATTGGCTACAGTAAACGCGGACTGAGTGAACACCACAATGAGAATCATGTGTGTCCAGGCATACTGACCAAATTGGTATTTGTACATCTTCTTCTTTAATGTTAGAATAAACCACATGAACCCTGAATCCAACCGAGATTTAGAAAAGAAATTAGAAAGGAAAAATAGCTCATGGCAGACAAGGGAAGACGAAAAAGGTGCATGGAGTTATTGGAGTATATAACAAAAGAAAGTAGTGAAATTCTTGGGGTAGAGCTACAAGAATGGAATGCTATAAGCTGTATTTGAGTGGATATACTTAGATTTTTATGCTAATTGAAACTAAAGGAAAAGAATCAGGAGAAGAAAAATAAACAGAACAATCGAAAACCTTTAACAAACCTGCAATGTATAGGAAGTAACAAATAACCATCTGATACTTGATAAGGTTGCTCAAAAGCCTATAAAGAAACTTCTCTGATGACATGTTCACAAGCTGCTGGCTAAGAATCTTGCCATATACGAATAGCATGGCTGTGAAGAAAAAATGCCTATGGAACAAGTGTAGTGAATTATATGATACCAATATGAATTAAATATAATGGCATCAAATCAGATGCTGGAACAACAGGTGGGATTACCAGTTCAAGAGCCTAAATCGGGGCAGATGTCTCTCTTCATGACCTCTTCTAAGTAGATTAAAAAGCTCACTGACCATGAAGATTTGGATGATAACAACCATGGCCCAAATGTAAAGGTGACCCAAGTAGATAATCAACAAAACACCCCCAATCATCCATAGAGATGAATAAGTCCTGATCCACATTGACCTGTACTTGTTTTGATCATTGATGAGTAAATGGCTTCCATTTGTTTTGCTGACCTCAACTGGAAACTGATACCAAAAGGATAAGATCAGTTACTTTTCAATCAAAATCCTTCCTGGTTAATGCAAAACTGTAATTTACTCCAGGGGTGAGAATGAGAGAAAGAGATAGAGAAACTCAAACCTCGTTTGATCGTCGTCTATGCCTAATTCTTGGTGAAGTAGGATTAAAATCCTTTTGCATTGCTCCAATCGATATCACTTCTCCACCAAGTTTCCAAATTATATTGTTGGCTGCATTCAAACAATCCTTTAAGACACTAAACTCTCACAAACTAGAGAGAATAATAAAAAGGCAGAATTAATAAATTCAGTAACAGAACAAGCAGACAATGTACATACAGATTAAACATGCAAAAGAGGAGATTACAAATAAATCAGAACCTGAACACATTAATTTACACACATGTCTGTTGATCAATTAAGGGGAAACATGCTTAGTGATGGACAGGAACCAAAAAAATAAAAAGGTTTAATGAAGGTATCAAAATTACCAATATAGAACCCTCTGGTCTCTAGTTTAGAAGTTGACTTATTCAAAACTGATTTTGCATTTGTTAAGAATAAATAACAAAATGTAACTTTCCTATCAGCTTTAGTTTTTAAGATAACTGGCTATTATAAACTATTTCACATGGAATGGAAGACTTAAGGTCTTCTTGTTGTCTCCATTTATAAATTGAATTCTTTCAGACCAACTGCTATTAACTTAAACTTCCAAAATATTAGCAACAATTTATTATTGTTCAGTTTTTACCAAATAACTGAATCCATATACAAATAAAAACAAAGTGACAAATTATCATAAAGTACATGGTCAGTAAACATAGTTTCTCTTTCTATCCGTTTAATCTCTAAAGCATTTTCATATCCTTATATATGCAAATATTTTCCTCGTAATAATCTGGAACATGCAGCCAAGCCTAACTAGGAAAGAAACATGAACTCACGTAATTTCCTGTGCAATAAATTGATGTACTAGCTGGCTCTTACATAATTGGCTAATAATATGTATATAGAAGATACCTACGTGCTAATATACATATATATAGATACAAGAAATACACATACACGGTTCATGATCTGCGTAAGTATACATTTCCTACCAGATTAAAAATCCAGTAAAAAAAGGAAAGAGATAACAAACAAAGAAAACTTTCTGCTGATCACGTTACGTATTCGATATAAATAGAAGCACTTACAACTCAATCGAGGACTTCAAAAGTATATATAAATGAAACCATAAGGTGACTAACATTAACACGATAAACAAACTGATTTTGCATATTCGAAAATTGAGAAACACATAAACGAGAAATTGGAGGAGAAAACTGTGGAATATTTTAAGATACGGAGAAAGTGAAGGGCACTTACAGTTGGAATTTGAAATTTACAAGTCCTTGATTGCAAAATCTGCAGAATAGAAGAATCAGTGTATTCCTAAATAACAAATTAAGCCGAAGGAATAGTAAGAATCAATTACCGTGCGGATAAAGAAAGGGGCTCGTTGTTGCTATGGAGTCTGGTGCGCTGAGTTTTCCACTCACCGATTCCTGTGTAAAACAGAAAAAACAGAAATGCAAGAACAATCTCTTTTTTTTTTTTTAATTTAAAAAACTCGAAGATCTGACGAACGTCCCTTGAATGACACGTGGAGTTTCGCCAGCATTTATAAGATATATTCCCCTACGTGGCATGTTCTTTTATTTTGCTTTCATTTTTTGATTTTTTTTAATCTAATAATCTTTTTTGTTTTTTTGGATAAATCTTGGTGGCTTTCATATTATCTTTTAATAAAAATAAATGTTTCATTTTTAATTTTATATTTTTATTCTTGTTAAATTTCAAAAATGTTAATTTATTACTATGAGCTTAATTTTTTATTAGACAACATATATAAATTAATATAGTGTGTAATTCAGATTAACTTAGTAACTTATTTTTTAAATTATGGAAAAATTAATTTTTTTAGTAAAAACTAATTCATTTTAATATAAGTGGGACATTATTGTTATTAATTTAATTAATTAATAAAAATCATTTCTATAAGATTTTTTTTTTTAAATCCAAAGTACAATTGAATTGTTTTAACTTTTTTTTACTAGTAAATAAAATTAAAGATTTAAATAAATAAAAAATTATTATAAATTAAATTATATTGAATATCAAATTTTAAATTTTAATTTAATAATTTATTTTTTTATTATCTAAATATAAATATTATAATTATTAAAAACAAATCACATCTATTAAATCTGAAAAATTACCCTAAATAATTTTTATAATTTATAATCTAATATTTTAAATTGAATCAGACATTAAGTTATTGTCCGGTAACTCACACGACTTCATTTCATAACATCGACAAGTAGAACAAGCCTAGAATAGTCAAGCCCACTGGCTCCTTTAGGCCCAATATGTGCCTGAGTCAGGTCCAACCAGACTTGGATTTTTAAAAATAATTTTTAATAATAAAGAATAAAAATAATTATAAAATTAATAAAACATATTAAACTAATTAAAAAATTAAAATGTATACACATCAAAAATTGTACCACCCGGGTCCGAAAATTTGGCCCGGGATAATTTAATATTAATGGAATAATAAATTAAAATAATTTAATTTTTAATTTTTTGTAAATTTTTGAAGAAATATAGATTTTGGATGAAGTTGAAATTAATTTTGGAAAACAAGGTGAAAGTGTAAATAAACAGGATGTATATTTGAAAGAAAAGTTGAAAGCAGAAGATCAAATTGCAAACAAGAGAAATGCGGGCCACGTGAGACAGCCACGTCAGCAGCACAGCGAGTCAAAATGCGTCGCGTAGCAGACACGCTAGCGCGGGTTCCACGCGGGTGATCGGCGAGCCTGAACGATGCAACGACTCGGGCTTACTCCTGCACGTACGAACGGTCCATATTGATTTTATGGACAAACATGATCATATGACCCATGCATCTTCGATCGAACGGCCTATGTAGTGGCCCGGAACCTAAAAGAAAATAAATTATAAATTGAATGCGGAAACGAAATAATAGAGTTATGGTTTATATTCCTTACACAATAATTTAGAATTCTCAATAGAACTATGGGAATTACCCTTCTAAAAAAACAAATGAAAAAATTAAAGAAATAAATGAAAAGTTAGGATTTGGGTTCGGTGTTATGCGAGATATTTATAGCCGTCTCGCGTCAATCTGACCCGTTCATTATATTTGATTTCGACTGTCCGATCACGTTTAAAGAAGAAATGAATCTAGACCATTTATCGCAATTTAATCTCGACTGTACGATCGCATTTAAAGAGGAAACGAATCTGAACCATTTAACGCATTTAATCATGACCGTTCGATTACACCTGAGGAGGGAACGGATTCGGATCGTCCACTCACGCAGGAATGCTTCCAGACTGTCCGATCATGTGGCACGCGGATCGCCAGCGTGGCCTCCTGCGTGGCACCGAGTTAGCGCGACACGCTTCTGTTCATCGAGGCTGCTGACTGGGTGGTCCTACGTTCTGCAATTTTTTAAAATTATGTTCTGACCCTCAATTTCTGATTTTTCTTTCAAAAATATACTTCAAACCCAAATTTTCACTCTTTTTTCCCAAAATTATTTTTAATTTCATCCATAACCTATTTTTTCATAATTTCACATTAAATTAAAATTTATTAATTTCAAAAAATAAATTTTTATACATTTTAAAATGTTAAAATTAATTCCGAGCTAAATTTCGAACCCAAATATTACAGTCTAGATCTGTTTCCCAAATAAAAGTAATCTAACTGCTGAGAAGGGGTCACGTCTCCTCGAATGGATAACATAAATTTAATGAAAAGGAGTATTTAAACTCCTCTTCACAGGGAACCCTAACCCTAGCTGACAGAGAGGAGATCGGAGAAGAAGAAGAGGGGCAATTAAAAAGTGAACCAGTCACTGGAGGAGACCAGCCACCGTCATCGCTGCACTAGAGCCACCGCCGACACCAAAAAAGTAAAATTTTTCCCCTTTCCATTTGAAATTGAATTTCGAACCTCCCCACACCCATATCGAAGTCAAAAGCCTAAAATATGAGCCGAAAAATGCGAGCAGAGCTTGGCCAAGTTGCCGCAATTGCGACCTCAAAACCCCTCTGATGAACCCCTTATGGTTTCCCGTTTTTCTTGATTTTTTGACCTCGTGTTTCTCATTTAATTATGTTTCATGTTAGCTAAAGAAAAGTCCCGACTGCAAGAGAGAAATGGCGGAGTCATCGCATTGGGAAATCCCTCCGCTGGTAGGGTCTCGATTTTCTCCTTCTCTAAACGACAGTGGCTCCCTAACCCCAATTTTTTGCAGGTTTCCATGCAAAACAGGCCAAAACTTGCCAAAATCGATCAAAATCGGTAAGGCCAGGAGGAAGTATCGCCGTGGGCGGCGGAGCCGTCGTGCTGGAACCCTAAACTGACCATAAAAATTTAAAAATTCTCATTTTTGCCTTTTTGGGGTACTTTGAGATACGTGACACGTGTTTTTTATTTCTGCCGGAAAAATTCATGAAACCTAAGAACTGTCAAAAGGCGCGATGAAAAAGATGATGTTTCGAACACCGATATGATATAAGAATCTCTCACCCTTTTCTCCTGTTGCAGTAAATTAAATTTTAATAATTAATAACGTTGTCTTTTTTAATTAGTAGAAATCCCTAATTAATTGAATACAGGTTACCAATTGAGCCAGTAATCGGTCAATACAAATTGTTTATTTTAGCTATACCGTTTATCTATTAGTATGATGTATTTGTTTGCTTGCCACATGCACTTTTATTTATAGATTTATTGTCCTTTTGTTATTGATTGTTTAACCATTTTTCTCATTTTATTGATTTACCAAAATAAATATTCTAATCACATTTTTTCGATTCACATATTGTCAATTTGCATGACTTACTGTTGATTTGTAAATATAGGATGTTGGTATATAATTAATGATTGGTTGATGATGTGGAATATATGTATGAAAGGTTTATTAGGTACCCTGGACAAAGGTGTACGGACCCGGTGCATAAGAAAAACCCTACCGTGGACATTAACTCAGTCGAATAGGGCTGAGAAGTCCCATACCGGAAAGGGTTGAAAGGTATAGTTCACCTTCATGCTGGACGGGGTATTGAGGTGGTAGTATTGATTGGCGCCTATTATTTGGATGGAGTACGAGGACGACCAGTTAATTTATAAATTGAATATTGGGTTCACGCGTAAGGAGGATCCCTATAGACACCCAGGGGTACCGATAAGTGAGTAAATTAGTAAGTTTACTATTATTATTTATTTAAATATAAAATAAAGTGATATCCTGATTATTGTCTTCATAGGTCGGTTTTGAAAACTCATAAGAGTAAGTATGAAAATAATGATTTTTTTATGTTAAATAATTTTATTACAAAAGAGATATTGGCTCCATTGGTTGTTCTACAATTTTTACTGACATTTGATTTTTCATATTGGTGTTAAGCGTGATATTATTACTGGGCTATTGTAACTCACTCCCCTAATTTAACCATTTAAGATCAAAAAGACCAAGATCCAGGTCCTTAACAGAAAAAAGGTTGCGAATAAAAACTATTTTCTGCATCCTATTAGAGTTGCCTAGCGGAGGTTAACTCTGTAGGATTTTTAGTTGTGTTTTATTTTATTTATTTATTTCCTTATTGAAACTTGCTTAAAAAGATATTCTCGTAATCCTATTGGGCATCTCGATTCATTGTGTAAGGAATGTAAACCCTAAACTCTTATTTGTTTTCGCCATTATAATATATATTCATTTACTTAAGGTTTTGGGTCTTTACAGTTGGTATCAAAGCCACGTTCCTCATAACTATTCCTTGCATAAAGATTTAAATCATTCAATATACCCGACACTCAACCCTTTCTTGTGGAATACAGGTATAAAAATATGAAGAAAGGAAGATCCCCACTAAACAGGGCAGCCCAAGATGGGTTACTTCGCGAGGATATCGATCGGCTCTTCAAGATGCTGAAGAGACTTATCTCTGCCCAGCAGGCCCGGGAAGAAAGGAGGGAGCTGTCTGACTCTCCACCACTGCCACAGTATAAGTCACCCCTGCAACAAGAAGATCCAGTGTAACGGCCCCGGAAATTTAAAATGAAATATATATTAAAAATATCAAATGCGGAAGCGAAGTCAAAATTCGATTAACATCCCTTACACTAAAACCAAAAATGTGCTCACAAAATATAAAAGATCAAACTATATAAAGGAGAAACTTGAAAGTAAAAGCTACGAATATGACTATGGAGTCTTTAGGCGTCCCCTTCGTCGTCCTCCTGCGGAACCGGCTCGGGAACGATGTCTTCCTGATCTGAAATGATTAAATAAGGAATGAGCTACACTAGCCCAGTAAAGACATCACGATATCTCACCGTCACGGAGGTAAAGGTGGGTAGAAAACACAAAAAGACCAATGGAGCATAATTTACAACAAATTCTTTTATCAATAATAAATCCTTCACCATCCACTTACCTCGATGGAATCCATAAAACAGTATACGAAAGCAATAATATTATCATCATCATGAAATCATATATGAACTGTATAACATAATACTTATCAAACCTTTTGTAATTCAATCGTTACACAA